AGTTATTCTGCATGTGCAAAACGTATATTTACTTAATCAGAATTTCAGAGAGAAAAGATAACTGGTTGTCCAGTATCCTTCTCTATGGTTCCCTTCTCAAACAGGGAAAACAATGACTAGGCTGGTTTTTTTTTCAGGTACAACAGCAAAAGAATCCTTATTCCTTTTGGTTGCATAATAATGTGTTATTAATGATAAGGCTGAGAATCACAGGAATGTGGGAGCTCCTGCTTCCCCAAAACAGAAAATTCTCGCAGAGAATGTATTTCCTTCAAGGGAGCAGCCTGGGTTTATACATCTCCTAGGGAAGAAGGGAGAAAATAATTGTCTTTATTTACTGAACATTTAAAAACATCTTGTGAACCCCTGCACTCCATACATGACATATACATTATCCAGAGCCAGGAATCCTTGCACTCAGGGTGCAGGCTCCTTGCCTGATCCTGACTTCAAACACAAGTCTCCCAAAATGCTTTCCCACTATGTAGTTGCATAGCTAGCTATTCCTGTGAACTTTCCTTTTATATTTCCAGGAAAAGACATGGAGAAAAAAAATCTGGAGTTACCTCCTTGTATACTAATAGGTAATATAATTTCATAAGGTGTCTGCATGAAAGAATGTTTGGGTGTTTTCTAATTTGTCTGTTTATGCCAAATTAGCTTAATGTTGGCATCTCAATGTTTAAAACTACAAAATAATGTTCAAATTGCACTCAGAAGTCAGACAAATGAACAAAATAATTAAAAGACATTTGAATACCCTGAATTTTCCAGAAGGATAGTATGGCATAATATTAAATATTTTATAGTATGGAATTAATTTTGCTATTGATGTTTAATTACTATAAATTTGCATTCACATCAGTGTGAATGCACATTTGACCATAATTATTTTTTTCCTCAGGAAAAGCAAATCTGACCCAACCCATGTATATTACTTGTAAAATTTATATTCTTTCCTCTCTCACATGAACAAATGCATTGCACATTGCATCAGCTTTTTTTCTTGATTCCCACAGGCACAACAGCTAACAGATCTGGAGCAAAAACTATCAGTTGCAAAAGACAAATTGGAAAATGCAGCCCTTGACAAAGTAAGAAGTGTAATGTAATGTAAGCATGTTTACCTCTATCAGCTGTGGATGTTTTGGTGTAATTTGGCAAAAACAAATGAAAGCCTTGCAGTTATTTAGATGCAGACTAAGTTGCATCTGAACTGTATCTCGGAGTGATGCTACTGAAATCAGTGGAACTAATTATGATATGTGAAGTTAAGTGCATCTGCAAAGTTATTTAAGAAGAGGATGGTCAAATTAGAAAAGAAAACAGCTCAAAAATTTTACACTGATTTTTAGTAGACTTAGATATTTATTGTTTGTGCTGACTTAGCGTTTTTCATAAGTTTTACACCTAGAGCACTTTTCTATTTCCCATCATGGATCCTTAGAATTCCTACAAATTTTGCATTACCAGGCCCCAAATATCAAGTACAGTATGGGCAGTAGGACCAGGAAAGTGATTGTTTCCCTGTACCAGAATTGGCAAGGCCACACCTCACATAGTGTTCAGTTTTGGGCCACTCAAATAATGACATTTTAGTGCTGGAGTGAGTTCAGAGAAGGGAAACAAAGGTGGTGAATAGCCTAGAAAACATGTTTTCTGAGGAGCATCTGAGGGACCTGACATTGGTTAGTGTGAGGAAGAGGGGGCTCATGCTCATTGCTCTCCACAGCTGTCTGAAAGGAAACCATCATGAGGCAGGGCTTGGTTTCTTCTGCCACGTCTCAAGTGAAAGGATGAGAGGAAATTACCTTAACTTGTGCCAGGGGAGGTTCAGATTAGAAATTAGAAATTTTATTTTCACTGCAGAAGTAGTTAGGCATTGGAATGAGCTACCAAGGAAGGGGGAAGATTAAAATGGTGCTGTATTGACAGATGGTCTTTAAGGTCTCTTCCATCCTTGATGATTCTGTGGATCATGTGATAGGAGTACAAATGGATCAGGGAAATATTAAGACATGCATCATATATGGGCAGCATTTTGGCCAGTAAGCAGCTTATTTTGACCACAGTCACATTTATGCAAGATTACAGAGAACTTTGTCAGATTACATCCCTGGCTGCAATAGTGTTTCCTTCACCTGTCCTTTCATGATGTTCATTTATAGATTTCCTGTCAGCAAAGTCAATATTGAATTATGCTATCCACAGGATGGAAACAAATTTACTTGTTTTTCTTTTACCTTTGGAATGGCAAAATTGGAATGGCTGCAGCCAAGGCAGAATGAGCACTGGATAGCAGGATTGAGAGATGAGAGGATGAGAAATTATCCTGAGAAATTTCTGGATGAGAGGAGGGTGATTTCAGTTTGGTGCAATCTGCAGGAAGCACTAGAGTCATATAGGACAAGACTGAGTCCATATCATCATGCAAAATTAGACAGTATGCTACCTCTGCCCATTTAACCATAACAAATGGTGATTTTTGCTGTCTGTGCAGTCACTAATTTGAAAAGTTAGGACTAAAGACATGTTACATGAAAAGAAGTATCTTCTGCTGTCAATTAGAAATTAAAGTGTCCCTGAGTCAAATGGATAAAGGAATCCTTTCCCTTTCACTCTGCTATTAGTTCAGAGACATACAATCTGACTGCACACATCTTAAGGGAAAGACATTCCATTTTCTCTGTTTGCATGTAAACCAAATTCCATTTTGTGGGAGACTGAAACATTAATGGTTAATGACTTGAAGCAGTAGGCTGTTTGGGCCAGGAAGGGTGTTTTCCTGGGACTGGGTTTTGCACCCCCAGCCTGTGGTAGAGAGGAGAGTTTCTGGGTGTGTGATGGAGAAACCTCTGGTCCACACAAGGCAGAAGAGGTGAGCACCCACCACGAGGCTACAAGCTGGGCTTTGGCCAGATAAGGGAAGATGATGACAAGAAGCAAACCCTGCAGAAGTGGGACAGTGCTTTTTATCGTGCCAGTGTCCTCCCTGACATAACTGGCTCAGTTGTCAAACTCCTCTCCCCGGGGAAGGTGTGGGACACTCACATTGACATGGGATGTTCACACAGGCTTGAGGGTATTCATCCCTCCTGATGGGGCATAGCAGGATCAGCCACCCTGATGTGAGAGGCAGCTCTCATGTCTTACAAGGGGTAATAAACCATCAAAGATGTCAAAGTGTCCCCAGACTTTTCTGGGACCTTCCATCAGAGGACTGTGCATTATCCCCAGTGCTGCACCAGACAGTGTAAGCTGCTCCCCCAGGAGAGGTGCCCTGGGCACTCCCACATTAGCCTGAACATTGAACTCTGTGTTTTGTGGGCTTTCCCTCATCTCTGAGGAAACAGGACTGTGAAGATCACTTTGGCCAATGGACATCTAAATTACAATGATCAAGGCTCATAACTGGATACATGGGTGATGTATTCCTTCCCTTCCCTTCCCTTCCCTTCCCTTCCCTTCCCTTCATTATTTTTATGCTTTTCTACTGATATGTTACTTTAAGTAATAACCACAATTTGCTTTCCATTGCAACCAAATTATTCTAAAATAAAACATATAGATATATACAAAACACAAACAATTCTGTGTTTTTTCACTCTAATCTGCTCCAAGGGATCTGTTAACAAGAACCTGAGTTACCCTTGCATTAAGGTCATAACATATTTCATCTCCTATTTCTTTAATTTTCCCTATTGTGCTCTGATTAATAACCTTACTATGATTGTCTTTTGTCCTACTATTTAAATACATTCTACTAACTGGCTTTGTTCGTTTTTTTAAGAAACAGTCATTTTTTTTTCCAGTTATGAGATACATCCCTGCTTTCAGTTCAGGGGAAGTTTATCTGATGTAAAACAGAGCACTTGTCATGTTCTCTAAAATATTTGCTAAGAAAATAAACTAAAACATGCTGTGTATGTCATTGCTTAGAATTAATATGACTATGAAATACTTTTATATTTTATATGTAATATTTCACATACTTGATATGTAGTGTGTAATGTTATATGCACGTTTTCCATCATACATATATATATTTTCCACCAGCTTTTGCCATGGTATACCTTGATTTATGTACCTTTAAAAAAATATATGATGATTGAAATGTGAATGTGTTCTGTATTTAGAGGTGCATTTCTAATAAAAAGAAAAAAACCTAGAAACTATGTGTTTTTAAATGTCAAATTCTGCTAACCTCCCCTTGAAATGAGTGTAAGAAGTTACCTCAATGGCTAACATTTGACATGTATCTTGATTTGATGAAACAAAGATTTGAAATATTATTTCCTCACTGCTGTAGTTATCTCATTGTTCTTGCTCTCTCAGCTTATTTCAGTTACAGACTTCTGTTTCCATTAATGTATCTATCTGTGTGTCTGGGAGTAAAATACAAATATTTTAATGTGAGTTGCAAGCATCTCATCACTTAGAAGTCTTATTTTGGCTTAATGAACAGTAGTGGGTCTGGACAAATATATTCTTAACTGTTATGGTTTCTTTAGTACATAGTGCAAAAGTATAATATGCTCATGAGGGAAGCCATCTTAGCTGCATTAAAATCTATCTATAATGTGGAAAAATACCAGTTATTTGAAATGTTATAGACTAAACTCCATGCAAAGTCTGTGTCTTGCAATACTTATGAATTCTCTGTAGATATTATGCATAAAAGGCCTGACTCTGTACAATATTTTGTAAATAGTATTTTTCTTTTCAGAAAAAAATGACATTAAAGTATTATTTGCAATAATCAATGTGGATAAAACTACATGAAGGGATGGGAAGAGAGTGCAGTGACTCCCTAGGCAGTTTGGTGTCTAATGTATGGCAATCTAATCACAGCAAAATACTGCTTTAGACAGTCTGAATTCCTTCCATCAATGAGAAAATGCAGCAGCTCCTCATAAGTGTTTGGTTTAATACAGATAAAGTAAGCAGTTGTGTTCATCACAGCACATCTTAGAGAAGTGATGGTTTCTTATTTTCCCCAGGAGTCACAGCTGAAGGCTCTGAAGGAGACTGTGCAGCTTTGCCTGTCTTCAGTTCTGCACAATCAGACTCCCACAATCAATCCAATCTCTTCAAAACCAGCTGAGAAGCTGACTTCCTCAAACACAAAGGGCTCCAAGGTTCCATTTCAAGTGGCAAGCACCAAGGTATGATTTCTCTCCAGGGTGGGTTTCTTTTTAACATCTTCGGAAGTTTGTCCTGTAAGAGCATCAGACTGAAGCTAAGGAAGATTTCAAATTCCTTGGAAGATTAGGAAAAAATTTGAGGATAATTCTAAGACTGTTTCTGATGTCAATAAATTGGTTTTTTAGTTGGGAAGCAGCTATGTTTGACTGAGTAACAAAATTATATCACTTGGTAAATGGATCGTGTCTGCACAACAAATCTACAATGAAGATGGGTTTGCTTTTACAATAAATGAGGGTGATAATTCGTAGGATTATTTACCTTTCAGGCACTCGTAGTGAATTTGTGGTAATACAGCACTAAACAGTAATATGAGGTTTACTTATCATGGTTTCTTTCAGTGGGAAAAAAATTATATAAAAACCATAACATAATCTGGGACACCCGAATCAAAATTGCCAAAATGGATCAATGAACTTGACAGTAGGCCATAGGGAATATTCCAGTCTTGCAAGATGAGAAGGGCAGTTTCAGAGAAAGCATGAGGAAAAGAAAAAAGATGAAAAGTGTTTTGAGTCAATAAATTCAAACATTATAATACAGTGAAGATTTGCAGTGATCAACAACTGTCCTAGTAAATTGCATCTTCAGTGTTGCATTTTGCTCATGAATTCAACTGATTCAGTAGATAGATCTACAAGAAATCTGTAATTGCAGTGAAAAGGAAGTTTTACACAAGAATGACTGAAGGACACTTCAATGTCCTCCTTTCATTCCAAAACTGAAATAAAAATAGGAATTGCTAACTCACAGCCAATTTCTAATTTGTGTATGGAAGCTGTTGATATTCACTGTTAGTGCACAGGCTGAAGCCAAAAATTAGTAATCTTTCTATATATAATTAAAATTAAAATACAATTGCAGAAAGCAGAATATGATTATAAAACTGGATATCACATCGCTACTCTTAAAATTACGATTGTCTGTTCCTTAATAACTGTTTTACAGGAAGAAACCATCATTCCCAAAAATTATTATTACCTCTGGAAAAAAAGCATTGTATTAATTAGTAGCAGCACATGGGGATGATAGTGCTGGTTTAGATTAAGCTCACTGGATCTATACAGGACAGCTGTACACTACACAAGCCTACAGACTTTTCTTTCATGCAAAGTGAGCAGCACTCTGGGATCTCAGAGGCTTGGAACACAAACCCTGTGAGGAAGGGCTGAGGGAGCTGGGGTTGTTTAACCTGGAGAAAAGGAGACTCAGGGGTGACCTTGTCACTCTCTACAGCTCCTGAAAGGTGGCTGTGCTCACATGGGGCTCGTTTCTTGTCTCAAGCCAGAACCAGAGAACACAGTCTCAAGCTGCACCAGGGGAACTTTAGGCTGAACAGCAAAAAAATTTCTTCACTGAAAGAGCGAGTGATTGGGCACCAGAATCATCTGCCCAGGGAGGTGGTGGAGTCACCATCCCTGGAGGTGTTTAAAAAAGACTCCATGGGGCACTCAGTGCCATGGTTTAGTTGATGAAGTGACATTAGGTCATAGGTTGGACGTGATGATGTCAAAGGTCTTTTCTGACATAGTTATTTCTGTGGTTCCATGATTCTATAATTAACGTTATTATTTGTAAATAATTTTATGTTCATTTTGGGGGGTAAAATATTAAATTAAAATATTAAAATATTAAAAATGCCTTTTTTATTAAGAATGTTTCTGATAACTACTCAAAAGTGTGTAGCAGTAGAATTGTCCTGCACACAGCATGCATCTGAATATTCTCCATGGTAGACTATTAATAATTTCCAGACTTTATAGGTTACTTCTCTTATCTGCACACTGTATCAATCCACACTTTAAATTATTTATTTTCTTTGCTTAGTTTGTTTTTAAGTAGTAAGGAGGAACACTTTCAGGTATGAGTTCACTAAGCAGTACTTAGAACAACTTGGATTTTTTAATGTTGACCATTATTGATTAAAATATAATTTGGACTGTAAATGTTTGACCTCACTAGGCTACAAAACTGTGTGACATGTGGGGTTCTATTTAGTGAGAATTTTCCTGAACAGCCAACCTAAACAACTGACTCCAATAATGTCAGGTTTTCATTGTCTCATATATTTCATACCAGCATATGATATGCAACAAGAAGATAGTGATATTTTGTCCACAGTTTAATATAAATTATTTATGACTTCCACAAGGTTAGTACAAATAACTGTTTTAATTTAAGTAATTTTACCTCTTTCTCTTGTGCAATCTTACAAGAACTTTGTTTCCTTTTGTTTATTTTTCTCCAAGCATGTGACTTAGATATTCTCTCTTCTTTTCTTTGCAGTTAAATAGAAGTAAATACATCATTCTGACTGTTGAAAATGGAGGTACAATGAATCATAACAGAGCTGCTCTTATTGATCCAGAAAAAATGGCTGTATACGTTTTTAGAAGGGCTTTCACACCCTCAGCTGCATGAAAATACAAATAAGAAACTGTAGTTGTTCCAAGAAAGTGAGGCAACTGAAAATCTTGGTTTAAAGTTCTATTAGAAAACTGAAATTATCTCAAATATTTATGCTTTCAAAATAAGCTGTATTAGAAAAACCAGCCGAATCCAGAGCACAGTAACAAACATATGGAACTTCTTTGTGCGTGTAGCTGGGCATTTTTAGAATTGCCACTCCTTTCCTGTGAGTCCTTTCTCCTTTACCAGCCCCGTGCTGTCCTGGAGGTCTCTGGGTGTCTTTTGGGTGCACTAGCTGCCTGAGAACAGTTAACAGACTTCCACTCCATACTGTAAATGCAAATACATTCTGTATATTACTAATGGAAGGTGACCTATTGTTACTTTTATTTTCTGTTTCTGTGGTACTTTCTTATCTTTGAGCACTTTTGTGAGTTTGCTGCGTGTCATGCTGGACTACCCTGGAAAGGATGCTTTGCTCTGCTCTCTGACAGACACTATCATCCTCCAGCTCACTGCACTTCAGGGATTGTTCATCCTTTCTAGATGTACTAGCTCTCAGAGAGAAAGGATGTTCAGTTAGAAATAAGATCCTGTGGTTTGAGGTGGTTAGGAACTAGTTTATTTCCCCAAGGAGACTTTAAGTAGAAGACTTATTAAGTAGGAAATTCTAAAAATAGTGTTTTAAAACTTCAGTATCTTCCCTAGCTCTTGGCAAACAAAACTTTTAAATCTTTTTTCCTTTTAGAATAGTTTTTTTTCCAAGAGATAAAGGACCCCAGAAGACCTACAAAGCAAAAATTTAAATGAAGAATGAATATAATGTCCAACATAATATACTGCTATGAGGCAGTTGCATGTATGAGGGAAAATTCTGCACTCGTAGATGAAAAGAATGATTCATTGACATCGAGATATGTCATCTATCATCCCACATGATCTATTTGAAAGAAAAGTCCTTTCACTTTGACGGATGTTCAGCTATTTGAGCTCAATGTGGATGTTCATCTTGGAGAAACTCATTTATAACCAATGCAAACATCTGTGAAATGTGAAGAAAATTAAATGTGATCTTTTAGTATCTGTGTTGAATAGATCTTAACAATTTCCACTTCTAATCGGAGTGGAGTTCTTCTAGGTTATTTGTAAAACTTAGAGCTTTGCTCAATGCTGAGTGTTGGCATAAAAGTAAGCAGCTATTTTCCACATTAAAGGTAGTTGAATACAGTGCAAATTGGAACAAAAAGAAAATAACTATAATGGCAAACATGTTTGCTTTAGAAACACTGTGTAGAAGTTTAAAGATCTGGTACATTATAGGATTTGCAGTCCTTTAAAAGGAATTTTCCTATAAAATTATATCTCTGCAGATGTGCATTAAGTAGATATAAGAACTAAAGTATGTCTCTTGCACCAACTGTTGAATAATATTGACAATGCAGTAGAGAAAAGCAGTTATCTCTACTGTAAAACGTGCCAAATATATGTCTATACATATCCAGTGACCATCATTTATAGAAATATGTAGTTTTAGTACTGTTTTTTTGTATTGGCTTCTCATTTATTTTTGCATTTGAGTTGCTCTGGAAGATTTTTAATTCAGGATATACAGAAAACAAATACAATTATTTTTTCTTTATATATATATTTACACATACCTATTAATTGCATATTTGTCGTGAATTTGGTTGTGGAAAGATAGAATAGATACTCAATGACTTTACAATGTCTCTAATTTGGAATAAGGTGTTCTTTAAGGTCCCATCCAACCCAAGCCACCTAGGATTCTATGAAACTTGCAGGGCTAGAAGGATAACTCAAAAGTCCATAAAATACTTCAAAATTATGTGAATTTTTGTAATTGCAAATGATGCTACTCAACTAAGAAGAGTGAAGGAAAAAGTTATTGGTTTAGCACCTTTTCCTCGGCCAAAATTAATATATGAGGCATTAACATGGCAGCTGGCCTGTGTGTTTATGTGCAATGTTCAGACTTGGTTTCCACGAGCAGTCAGAACTGACCTGAAATGTGATATTTCTGGCTCTTAATCTGTGCACCTTGCCAAGGAAAGCTCTGACAACTTCGTCCACTTACTATGTACAAACTGCTCGGTTTCTTACAGTAAATGCTACAAATCCTTGAGCAACTTGTGACATCCTAGGCATGACAAAAGTCACTTCCATCTCAAAAGAATAAGATGTCCCAGGAGAATACAAAACTGAGTGCCCTGAGAAGTGGGCATGAACAGCCTGCCTAAGCTGTTCCCTATTTGCAGCCTCTTGGCAGCCATCTGGTCATTAATCCTGGTGGAGGTTGGTAAAGGGAAGCAACCCCAGTCCAGGGGGATCTCTCAGGTTGGCTCACTCAACATGTCAAACAGATGTCACAAAATGCCTCACTCAACATGCCAAACAGATGTCACAAAGTGCAGACAGGTGCAGCTGGCACACCAGGCACAGGCTGGTGAGTCTTTGCTGTAGGTAGTTTTTGAGTGTTTGTAGTTTGGGTCTGTGAAACTCTCAGTAGCAAAAAATGTGTTTCTGGACAAAGTCCATGATTTCAGTATTTGAGGTTCATCAAGACATTGCACATCATTAGAGGAAAGCCACCACAGCTATCATAGAATTGGGGATTTTTCGTCCTTGGATATCATGAACTTGCACTCTGCCAGAAACTGCTTAGTTTGTTTGCTTACATTGAAAATGCTGTGCAATCCTTCTGTTAGATCAGTATGAGTGCCCATATTTTATTTTTTTTTTTAATGTGGAAATTGATTATCACTAAAACCTTTAGTGTAGAAAAGATTAATCTGTGACAGTCTAAGTAATAGGAAAAAATTGCATTTATGTGACCCATATTGGTGTTGGCAGGCTGTCTGGCAAGTTCTGTCCCTAGCACTCTGGCATCTCACATGAAAAACTGCTGACTACAGAGCAAGGCTTGTGCATGTGAGCCATGTGAGAAGAAAGAGCCAGTAAGAGTTTTTATAATATAGCAAATAATTGAGCTACATATCAAAGTCAAAAAATCTTTTGAAAGATGGTTGACCTAATTTTGCAGTTTTATTTAGCAGTGAAGATGAGGGTATTATAGCAAGAGTGCACCATTTCAGAAGAAAACTGTTTGGTATTAGAAATGAATAATATATAAAGCATAACTGAAGGAAATTTCAAAGGTATGAAGGAGAACTGGGGTCTTATTTATTCCACTGCAAACTTTGGAAGAAATCTCAAAGAAATAAGGAGTTTGGTTTGCTTGTCTTCAAGTATTCTGTAAGTTTTGCTGCAAGTAAAGCACTCATCAATGGAGTCTAATTTCCTCTGCAAGAATATACCTTCAATGTATTTTAAACTATTATTTCAAGGATCTGAAATGCAAAGCTTGGGTTTTAGTCAAGCTTGTAAGGTCTCACCAGGAAATTCTTCTAAATTATTTCAAAGGCAAAAACAAGATAGGAGATTTCATGTTCCTTGAAAATACATTTGCATTTTAAATCCTGTATTGAAAAGACTTGAGGACTGTTTAGAAAGCTTTAAGTAAATTGGGAAGGAGTTAATAATCTTTATCCAAACAATTTCACTCTGGAATACTTGATGTAATTTTGATTATATAAGGTGTTGGTCTAGAAAATAGGTCCCACTCAGATAAGTAATAGCATATTCATTTTAATATGAGAATTTATTTTTCACAATAAAACATCCTGTTTGCAAAGTCTTCCTGTAAGACTCACGCATCATCAGCAAGTATATAAGCCTCTAATTTATTTTTTTTTTAATGTAAAAAGTCAGTGTTGATCCTATAATTTTATAGAATAAAACTGCCAAAATAGATGCAGTATGCCCTCTGGTGTTTTGGCCAGAACTCAGATTTAAAGTACTGTGTTGATTTTGCACAGCCTGGGTTTTTGATACCAGGGGGATGAAGAGTGGGGAGGAGGGGACAGAGGACAGGGGTGGCTTCTGTGCCAATCTCTGATGGCTCTGAAGACAGACATGCTTACTTAGGAGAAATTGCAGCTCTGTTTGTTTGTGGCTGTGTCTGCTGGCATGAAAAGGAGGAACTCGTGGTTATATTCACTTACATGTAACAAAAAATAAGGAAGTTGTGGAAATTCTATTAAGCAAGTAACTATAATTATATAAATGGCTAATAACTACACATGCAGAAAGAAAAGGACAGGAAAAGGCACTGAGGAAGACAGCGAGCCTTCATCCAAAAGACCACTGAAAGAGGCAAACGACCCCCTAGCAACAACCAAGGCCTGTGCAGAAGACAACTCTCAATGTGGAATCAAGGAAATGAAAGCAGGTGGAGGTTATCAGGAAAATGGAAACTCAGACTGTATAAAAAAGCTGGATTTCTGCTATGTGGTGTGTGTTCTGTTGGGGCAGTGACTCCCCTGCACACCCAGCGCTGTTTGCTTGCTGCTTTTTCTGTTCATAAATAATCATTGGAGAGATCATAATTTCTCGTGAATTTATAACAAAATCAACCTCTCAGCACTGCGGGATCCTGCAGGAATCTTTGGATTAGTGGAACTTGTTGGCAATGGTACCTACAAGCATCAGTTTTTCTTCTAGTGAGAGAAGAGGAGGAAGTGAGGACATGTGAGGGAAAACACCGTGGTGGCTCCAAGGCCAGTGGAAAAGAAAAGGAGGAGATTCCCTGAGTGTCAGAGCCAAGATTCCTCTGCAAGCCATAGTGAGGACTGTAGTGGAACAGACTGGCCCCTGAAATGTGTGAAGTCCACAGGGAATGCAGAGATCCACCCTCAGCCCATGGAAAAGTGCTCCCGCTGGAGCAGGAGGAGACCAGAGAAGGCTGTGATCCAGTGGGAAACCCAAATAACGAGAAATAAGGGAAGCCCCTGCTTCCAGAGAGAGAGAGAGAGCCCTTGCTTCCAAACTGGAGCAGCCTGTCCTTAGAAGACTGCACTCCAAGGACGAGGGACCCGTGCCACAGCAATTTTGGGAGGCTGCCTGTGGAAAGGGACACCAGGACATAGCAGAGAGCAGACTCCTCTCCCTGAGCAAACAGATCTCGAGTGAGGAACTGACCAAAACCCCCACACCTCCTCCCTGCGCTGTCGGTGGGAAGCAGGGAGGGGCTGGGGGGAAAAAAGGTGTTCCAAACGCTTATTTTACTTTTCATTATCCTCCTCTGACTCTCTTAATAATAAATTTACTTTATACCTTTAAATGTGAGCATGTTTTGCCCTTAGAGTGTTTTCCTTCCAGTCCTTATCTCAAGTCACCAGCCCTTTGTTAATTTTTCCCTTTCCTCTGACCAGCTATAGCAGGAGAGTTTGGTAAGCAAATTACTTTCGTGGGTGCCTGGTGTTTGGCCAGTGTCAAACCATGACAGGGACCCAGCCGGGGTCTTGCCCTCTGTTCTGCTTTCCTCCTTTAGCCTCTGTGAGCAGTGTGGTGGTGTTTTAAACATAAGACTTGCAGATCAGTGTCACATTAGGGTGACAATATGCAAAGTAATTGGGGGTGATGGTTGTGTGAAAGCTGAAGGGATGCAATGTCCATCAGTTAGAAAACAGGGAATGAAGGAGCCCAGTTCACTGCTCCCAGGTTTGGTGGTGTCTCAGCAGTGCAGCTTTGGTAAGGAATTTTAAAAATGTGTTACAGAATCTGATCCTACTGGCTAAGGCAATCATATAGAAATCGAAAAACCTCATAGAATCTTTTGTTATGGGAGAGAAAAAAGAAGAATAGTATGTAATAATGGACTTTACTCTTGAAGATTTCCTAGAAGTAGGAAATGCTGTAAACTCTGAAAATGTGACACTTGGAAAGTACTTTCTTGATGACAGCTTACCCAAAATCTCAAACTTCCCATTGTTCTGTAGAAATGAGTACAACATGCTGAGAAATTGTGCATCATTTAATAAGGTACATTCTTAAGTAAGAATCGAATTCTGAAATAAGCACTATGCACAGGCATTTATTCTCCTCAGTTAGTAAAGCATAAAGCTGTCTGGTTTTGCTGGCATGCCATGGGATTTCACTGTGTCAGGAAGTCAAGAAATCAAGTGAACATACATTTTATCATTTATTGAACATACTTCTATTTTATTCAATGCAAAGAAATTTAGGTTTGCAGAACTGTAATTTCTTTCAGTCCAAACAGACAGGTCATTCAATACAGGTATTAAATGGCATTCATTATTTAACAAAACAATTCTTTATATTCGATCTTTTAAATTTAATCTCCACATTACTTCCTCCAGTATTCAGTTGCTCTATAAAACTAACAAATCTTCATCGGAGACTTGTTAACCAGAGAGTATTTAAACTATTTTATTTCAACTATGAATTGAACTATTTTTCATGATTGGAGTTAGATTGTAAATAGTGACCTGCTTGGTTTGGTTCCTCCTGTTTTCCATCATTTCTGAAAACTTTGTATTACTTAGTAATTCAATGCAGTATAAGTGACATAAGAAAGGTTTCAAAACTGGTGTCTGAAGTTTTAACTTTTCTTTACAGAAAAATTATTTTGCTTTGTTACTTGTCACCACCCCCATGAAGAGTTTCAATATGTCTTGCAGACAATTTGGTGCTTTCAGGACAGTTTTAGTACATGTTCTTCCTTTTTTTTGTCCTTTTCAATCTTAAAAGTTTCAGGAAATAGAGAAACTGATGCTTCAAACAAGCAACAATTCAATGGAAGGAAATTCACTGCTTATAAAGCAGTAACAGAGTGCCTTCCCCATACAGCAGTCTGTTTTGTGTGTAAGGAGTGAAAAGCATGAAAATGAAGATGTTTTTCCAGCTTGCAGCTTGGGAGATGCCAGCAGAGAAGGGAGGCTGTGGACAGCTGAAGTCAAATAAGCAGTTCATAAACATGTCAGCTCACTGCCTCAGTCTGTCCCAGAATCCACAAGAGTCACAGCAATACGAGTTCTGAAAATGCTTTTTCCCTCCTCTTTTGGCATTTCGATAGAATATCTTGATTATGTATATGGAGGTAATAATTTACAAGGGAGTACTTTAATGAGAATACATATTTAGACATTCTCTGTATAAAATGTGCTGAAAATGCAGTATATAAAGTAGTTAACAGTTGCAGTATATGACATCTTGGTTTTTCATTGTTATCCTGAATTTTCACGTGTGACTTATTTGATATTTTATCTCAAATATATTAATGTTTATAAATTGTTACTTATATTTTTATTTTTCAGGTCTGGCAAAATGTCTCAGCAGAGAAAGGGAATTTTCATGTGGCCTTGAAAAAGGAAGAAAATCAAAGCACCCAGGAGTGTGATTCTCAAGATGTAAGATTAGCTCACCTGAAAAACAAGGCCTAATGTAGGCTGTGTGAAAACATGAATGCTTTAGGCAACTGTCAATGGGACTTTTCCTATTCAAGATGGTAGACATATTTTATAAGCCAGCTATGTTCTGTATTCAGGTGCTGAGGAGAAAATGCTCTTTGCTGTCAATCTGTGCATATATATTATCCAAGTTCCTTTTAAAGACTGCTGAATATAAGTGGTAGAGCTGCTGCAGGAAGAGCAGTGATAGAAAGTGTGTTGTTTTATGTTTAACCACTTCAAGAATTAGTTGGTTCCTGGTTGAAGTGTTGCATGCATTATAGTGAGATGCAAAATCTTTGTTTACATATCTTTATATTTATTAGCAATTTATTTATTTCTATTAATCATGCACAGCCCTCACAGATGCTTCATTTAATGAAGCAAAGCCTTTCAGGAGATGTAAGACATGACAGGGTAATAGTTGAAAGGATGAGATATTGTTCACTGCCAGTCTAGAAAAGCTGCAAGCTGTGTTTTTCTTATGACAGCTCTGACAGAAAGCTAAATCTGTCACTTTTACTGAGACAGTGCACTCAGTCAAACAGCATGGCATGAGCTCTAAACAGCAATCTCTAATTCATGCATTGTGGCTGTAATTCTAAAGATACAAATAGGACAGGAAATACAAACAAAAAATGAGTGAGACAAATTTTGTTGAGAGTCTACTCTGGCTATTGAGGATTTTCTGATCCATAGTTCGAAAAATATAGTATTACTCTGGGTAATTTGTAGGGAAATACATATATCAAATATTCAATATATATTGAATATATTGTTACATTGTGAGACAAAACAAAATCTTGTGGAGGTAACTGGGTAGCTTGCTGTTAGTGATCATGGCAGTGTGAAGAAAATTCTGGGAAAAAAAATCTTATTTAATTCAGGATACAATAAATTAAATAAAATTACACAGTATCCATTTTTTTGCAAAGATGTTACAAGTTTTTTCAGTTATAAGTTACCTCCCTTCTGCCACATCCTTTACAGAACAAGGAGAAATTTCCTATCTTTAAGAGTACATACTTTGCTCTTGCACATTTTTTAAAGTCTAAAGGTAAAGGAAACTTCATTTGTTAATAAAAATTGAAGGAGGAGAGGTAAAACATGTAAAATTATGAAGGTGAAGTGAACTCCGTTTAGATTATAAATAGATGTTAGTTACTCCTTGGAAAAGTTATGGAAGGTTTGATGAAATGTAGAATGCTTTCAGTAGAAACTGAAGTAATTTAGGCTAAATAGTTGTGAAAGAAGTTTAAACAGCTTTTTTACAATGAATATATTAAAAGAGAAAGAAAAAGAAAATAACCATTAAAGTATTTAAAAAATCAAGAGAGTATTCAATTTCTGTATCAAGTACTGCAATGAAAGACACATAAAAGATTCACTTTTCCATAAAATCATGGGTTTAGTTATTTAGATTAGCTGATGGTTGCCTTTTTGTGCTTCTAGCAACTAATATTTTAGCTGTTCAGTCAGTCAGCAACTGTTTAATCAGTCAGCAGACAAACACACTGTCCCTCTGAACATAGGCTCATATTAACACAGAGAGAGAGACACAAAAGAATTGGAATTATTGGCTTTGAGAACTGAAGTAAAAATGTCTCTTTCCACAATTAGCCTTCATATATTGGCATTAGAGGTGCCACCTTAAGTTCTGAAAATCTGGAAGGAATTTATTTTCCCAAATTATTATATTACTTTAGTAATACAAGGCTGCAGTTTATACCTGTGAAACTATCACTTGGAGAAAATTCAGTACTTGGGAAGAGTTTTTATTGTATTTTTGTCATTACTTAGTTCTGTGCAACTTTTTTCTGAAATTTTTACAGCTGCTTAACTCCCAGTGAAGGAAGATTAAGGTTGGATGGTTAAGAACATAGGACAGGTTGCAATGCAGCATCGTTTAAGAAAAATTAGTGAAGATGTACTTAAAACTCTGCTGCTTAGAAATCTAATATTTCAGCAATCCTTTCTCAGAACTTTACAAAGATCCTTTTATAATGTCTCTGATAAATAAAATGTGATTTATATTTTGGAAGAATTAGGATAACAAAGACTAACTAAAGAAGAACATGCAACCTTACAGATATTAAGGCAATAAATAAAGCAAAATGGTTGGTTGCTGGTCCCAACTGGTGTTTTTAAGTCTGTATGGCTAAGCAATTCTGTCGTAAATTTGTGATCTTTCTGCAGTTTTTTATTTATGGGGTTTATGCCTGTTCACAGTATTTAGTAGCACATTTGGAAATTAGACACTGCTGATATTTATCTGTAATTAAATTTTACATAGGACCAGTAATAACCAGTAGTAGGTAGGATACCCTGTGATACATAATCTGAAATTCATCAAACACCAAAAAAATAGTAACTTCAATATACTTGCTAAAGTTTCCATTATTTAAATTATTTGTATTTTATTAGAGGCATCTGGTCAATACTACTTTTTCTTAGCCTTATCCAGAGATGTTTTCCTATGTCTGGCTCCTGAAAGTCTCTGCAGAAGTTCTGCAGAGCTTTTCCCCTGTATCCCTTCCTTTTTCTGTCTTCCCAAAAGCTTTTGGAATTTTGGCTTTTCCACCAGAATTTACTTTGTTCCCTTTTCATGTCAAATGATTCTTATGCATCTAACATATCACTTAAAACTATCTATTTGGTATTTCTAAAACATCAAAGAATTTATAAAATTATTCTTTTTTCTCTGTTGTCATATTAGATTTTTTCCTTTGTCATTATAGAATCTTCTCTGGTAAACAGAAGTGATGGTGCTTTTATTTACTGCCTTAATTTCCTGCAGTAAACAAACACTATATGTTCATTAACCATTCAATGACAAAGGACATTGAGTATTGGAGGCAAAATTGTACATATTTCTAAGCAACCACAGCATTTTGTTTCTTTTTCTTAAATCAGTTTCAGCTGCAGAGCTTTGATCACATTGCACTCTCAATTGTTTTCCAAAGGGAGTAATAAGAGAAAAAAAAAGTAACAATTGTTTTAACAAAATTTCAAATAAATAAAATCCTTTAAGTAAATTTGATTCTGTAAATGAGGACCAGGAAGATCATAAGAAGTTTCATCATCTGAGTTCAACCATCCCCTTAGTATTGTGATCTAAAACAGGAGGAGGATATGAAAAACTTCAGGGGTGTTTTCTGAAAGGGTATATGCACATTTCACATATTTCTTACTCTGTATCTTTCTTCTAAACAGTGTTTAAAGCAGTTTCCAGTACAGATCAGGAACAAATTCATGAGCAAATCTGATAAAACATGTCTTTGAATGAGCTGTGAACATAACTTGGTTAATGACAACTGAGATAACGAGTTTGTCAGTTGACCTAACCACACCATCCCTTTCTCCTGTATCTGGTTTATTTTCTTCAGAATTAACTCAGTACTTTCTCCCCCATCACACTCTACAAACAGCTTCCCTCTCTGCTGTTTGTGCCCTCTGAAGACAAAAGGAGTGGCAATTCAAAGGAGCACTGATGCTCCAAGGCCTGCTCAACTAAATCTCTATGATGCATTTTAGGAGCAGTAGAGTTATTTTCTAACTGCAAAAGCTGTTATAATACCACTTATTTAAACTTGATTTCCTGTCCACTTGTGATTTGATTATTTGACCTTAAAATGTCATGATTTTTTTTTATTATAAAGCCAGTTCCTACTTGCTGAGTTGATGCAGTAGTTACATTGTTCAGCTGTTCGAAGATAAAAGTTGCACAGTTTAATGGCCAATGGACATGCTGAGTTCTAACTGGCTTGTTGAAATTTTTTAAAATAAAGATGCACACTTAGTTTATCCACCTTTGTCATTTATACATCCATCTATGAAGCTCTCCAGCTTTGCAGTGTTACTTGCTAGGAGAATTGAATACCGTAACTTCTCAAATTTTGTGTATATTACTGATCAAAATACAGATTTTATAGCTGGAATTTCACACACAGATACTTTGTTAATAGGACTGCATGTGAAACTGATGCAAGCAATGCAGAAAATTATTTTTGGTTTTTGATAGATTCTGCAACGTCAGGCTCTCATTTTGTCCTTTTGTAATTAGTGTACCTCTCACGGGAGGGAATGTGAGAGACAGAAAGAGTCACACAGATGAACATAAAAAACAATCCACTACTTGGCATAGATGGAACTAGCAACAATAACAGAAGTTTAATATTTTACTTTCTTTGTCTATCAACTAAGACTTTGAAAGATATTCTAGTACATTTGGTTTAAATTATATCACTGGTCTTTAGCTGAGGGACACAAAGATATATGTATTGTGTGTGTTTGCATATTTATATGTTTATATAGAAGCATGTGAATGCACACATAGGTGTGTGTGTGTGTATATGTGTATGTGTTTATATATGCCTGAGGTCCTGTGTGGATGGTATTCAGTTTGGGTTCTGTTAAACCCTGTTTACAGATATAGCAGAAGATTCTGTTAATTCTCATCTGACACAGTTTAGGAACCAAACTGATAAAAAGCCACAACCTCTGTGTGTGTGTGTGTGTGTGTGTGTGTGTGTGTGTGTGTATGCATATATATATATGTATATATACATGTGTGTGTGTGTGTACACCTCATCCATAGGAACTGGTTACAATCCTGGCTATTGAACTGCTCTTGACTGATGGAATATTGAAAGTCATTGCTGTTGTTCAATCTGTAATCGATTTGTTAATGTTATACATGTCTCACAGTGACAAGGACTCAATAATGGATATGTTATGCTTTAACAACATAAAAATACTTTAGAAAAAGTCCCTACTATTTTTCTCCAGCAGTGATCCATATGCTGTGCTACTAAAAAGATAAGAGCTCTGAGTGAACAAATATGAAATACTACAGACATGTCTTTATTGTTCTTTTCCTATCAAGATAGCCTCTGTTATCTGGTCTATGAAAAGGGTATGCAAGACTCATAAAGCATTGTTTTTATCATTTACTTTTATTTTCTCTAAGGCAGACCTGGTTATTTTTTCTTCCTTTGCATGTGTCTTAAGCAGTTGACATATAGCTTTATTAAGGTCAATTAATAGCTTTTGCTTCCTATCTCCTATAAATTATGTTGGTGAAATATGTAACCTGATTTCATGTATGTGCAGTCTCCTAGTATGTACAGTCGAGCAAATTCTGGATGTGTAAATTATTTTATATTCAATTACCATTATTTCTGTCCTCTTCATTACACACTTTGCAATATTGTTCATTGTTTGACCTCTAGTGTCTTTGTCCTCGAACTGCACACCTAGAAGTCACCCAAACCCTCATTTTTTTCTGAACATGATTCAGCTTGAAATATTTTTTAAAAATCTAAATTAATAGTAAATAATTCAAATGGAAGTTTTGGCAGGACCACACTTATAAGATTTTGAAGTATTAAAAGTCTATTAAAAATTACTACTCTGTCATCTGACTTTTTAGTCTTTATCTAAGACATAAATCATGTTTGATTGATGTTTTATTGCTTTTTGTCATAAAAGGAGTAGGTGCTTTATCAATAGACTTTATTTTAATCAATACTGCCTTGATTATTCCCTATATTAATCCAACTTTTATTTGTTATTGTCTAGAGTGGGAAAACATGAGAAAGAGTTCCCCACACCAAATCCATCCTCATCGTCTCAGATGCTCACTTCAGTAGCTTAAATATTACTAAACCTCCCCACTGTTACATTGGAAAGAGTCTTGATGACTTAAAACCTTTTAAAAACCCTCTCATTTTCACTCCATTTAAATGTATCAGTTTTAATAGCAAAACAAGTAGACAAATTCCAATGTGAACTCATTTTAGAGTAAGTGGCTAGTGACCAAGTATTACAAATATTTGACTGTATTTAATGTTTCAACTCCTTTTCCTATGACATCCTTAATCTTACTTCTGAAGGGACATTGATTTAAGTATAGTAGAATTTTCAATGTTGAGGAAATCTCTGGTTTCATATCTGGAGATCTCCTTGTTTCAAAAATCTACTTTGTAATTAATTTTATTTATGCTGTGCAACTCTTGTTTTCCCAGATATTAAAAAGCATATTGGCAAAGAATATAACATTATTCCTTGAATAAAATGACAGCAATTAATGCAACAAGGTTGTGTACCTTGAGAGTCATCTGCCTTCCCCACGCAGTGACTTTATATTCCCATTCAGGGATTATTATACCTAAGAGATCTAGAGTTAGACAAGAGAATAGTGATAGAGAAGTTCTAACTGTAATGCTGATTTTCTACTGTTTGTTACTATTTCCTCCATAAAAGACACTTGTAATTACTTTTCTGTTCTCTAGGACCACTTGTAGAAGTAAACTTCACTATTGGTGATGAGATTTAAACATGAAGAAAAAAAGCTGGATAAGTATTAAGTTGTTAAACTTGCTGCCACAATACTATATTGTTAAAGATTATTACAGGGATGATGGGAATCTGGGATAAGCTTACTTATGAAAACTTTGTTCCATTCCATCAACTAGGCTTAGAAGAAGACCCGGTGATTGATTGATTTTATTTTTTAAATTTTTTTTAACTGAATATTTTAGGAAAAAACATGAAGTAGTTGTCTCTGACATTTGTATTGACAGGTTGCCAAGACATGTTTGGGGAATCATAATGATTCAACATCTCGTTCAAAGGCAGCAGAAACAGAGACAAGATTTCAGGTATTTTCTTTCAGAGTAATTGTTGGGGTTTTACAAAAAGGGCTTGTGAAATGCAATTACTTGAAGTATACTTACACATTATTAACCAAGTTCTGTCTCAAAAGAGAAGACTACTTAGTTCAGACTTTGACTGCATCTGATTGCAATTCTGTTCAAAATGCTTTCTGGCTGGTAACAATTCACAAACTGTTAAATATTTGAAGAACTAGTGTGACTTAATGATTTAATTTGATAGTGTGATGTCTACAGCCCTGGAAGCAGGCATAGGGAGAGATTTCCAAAATAATTATATATACATATTATAATATATATATCACATGCAATTCTATGAAGCTGTATGCAGCATCAGACTTGTATGGTTTTGCACTGTGAAGGTTGTTAAATATGCTTCCTTTAATAGAGATCAGGACTCTTTTCTAGAGACAGTTGGCAAATATATTCTGCTGCAATAGTTTTTGAGTGGGGCATCAGTTTAATACAAATAAAGCTCTATATGCACTATTGCCATGGAATTTTAACACACTTTTAAAATTTTTCTTATGTATATATGTATTCTATACACCATGTTTACCCTGATGATGTTTTCACCTCTACAGAAGCTGCACAGCCCTCCGTGGACTAAACTTGAAGATAAAAAATCGCCTGAAAAAAATGAGAAAAAATACGAAGAATCAGTTAGCACACAAGGAAAAAACCTCTAAATGCTACTAATCTACATTGAAAAATGCCAACCACTTCATCCGCATGTTCTGTTAGCACAAAGGCATGAAATGTCCCAGGTTTCTAAAGCATGCATTTTTCACTATTTTATGAATGTCTGTAAATTAGTCTAGAACAGACCAATTAGTACCTTACAGCAATAATCCAAAATGGATGTTTGAAGAAATGCTTTGTAATGCAGTCCAGTTTTTGAACTCTTGTTCTACCTTATCAGTAATTGTATACTATAAATTACCTTCTTTGTAAACAGGCATTCTCAAGTATTTTCTCAGTCTGTTTTATTTCATGTAATTTTGTGCAGATTAGGTTCTAAGATTAAGGGGCAGTCAGTGTGTGTGGGGAAATATCTGTGTAACCACATTTGAAGTACAATCCTGAAGTGCAGCTGTAAAGAGAACTGTGCATGGGGGTCCATGTATACTTACATTTCAGTAATTCTATTTCAAATCGACTTATTTACACAATAAAATATGTTTATTTTGTTCTTTTTTTTTCCTCACTTCTATTTTAACTAGCCCATTTTTTAACACTGAAAAGCTGACAGAATTGGAGTTTAAGGGATGGAGACAGAGAGAATCATTACTCTGGGAAATCAAGCAAAAAAAATTCGCAGGTGCTACGGAGTTACAGTTTCATAATTTGGATGGCAGCCATGGGAAGACAGTTTCATCCCTTATATTTGTGCTGATCTCAACAGGATAAAATTTACTTTAAAGGGTAAAGCCCTATTTTGTCCACCACCACTGGCCTTTGGTCACTCCATCAGGGAGAAGTATATTGATTGGAGTAAGCTCTGTCATCCACGGATTCTTTCAGTTTTCCTTAGTCACATATTCTGTGACAAGAAAGCAGAAAGAAAGGGAGGAGAAGGAAGAGAGAATGTTTTGTTTGTTTGTGTGTAGGTCATTATTGTCTAATTTAAGAATTCATATGCCATATCTTGTTGAGATGCAAATCTTTCAGGAGCAGTAGGAACAGGAAATTGCCTGATGCAATGCTATGCAAGAAGTGTTTTAAGCAGTTGGAACTTGTAAACTTCCACCTTTGTCTTAATGCATACAGCAGCACATTTTTTACTAGATTTAAAGTAGTTATACTAATTTATTTTTTCTTGCTTTGTATCAAAAAGCAAAGTTTAAAGTTTAAAAACAAAATTTAAGAAAAGTTTAAAAGCAAATAGACAAATCTATTATTTGACTTAGTCGTGCTCTGTCTTCAGTTTTAGCATTTAAGATTTTACCTCTCCTTCAACAGTCTCCATCAATATCTGCCTTTTCCTTGCTGGTATGAATAATCTTTTATCCTGACACTTTGTATATGCTCCTCTACTCAAAGGCAGATAGTTGCAGAATGGTAGGTTTCTCTGCCTTGAGAAAATACAATTTTATAAAGAAAAAAACCTAATGAGCTGAACAAATGATGACAAAGTACAGCTTAAGTCTATCCATGTTAAGGGTCAAAAGAAGTGAAATTGTGGCCACAAAATAAATCAGAAAAGAGAAATGGCTTTTGCATTTGATCCTAAATCTTGGTGAAGACAGTCTGCTGTCTTTCAAAATTTTCAGTGAGCAAGAGACTTGTGATCTTGTCATATCTACAGCTGGCATTAATTTCTAGTGATGCCAAAAGCAACATTTCTTTGCAAAAGACACTCCTTCACTGGAAAGGTCACTGAAACTGTTTGAGTCAGCTGTCAAGAAAGGATCTCCACTGCACAGTGGCTGAAGCCCTCCAGCAGGACAAAAGCCTGTGAGCACAGTTCTTCCTGTAGTTTCAGAAAGAAGCTTTTGTCAACAGGATCCCGTTCATCAGGCAGCCTCTAATAGACACCAGCCACAAGGTTCCTTTGCTGCCTTGGTCACTGACTCTTACCTACAGGCTCTTGACTTGCTCATGGCTGTTCTTCAAAGACATCTCCCCACTCCACTTCTTGATGTTAGAGGGCAATCCCTCCATCTCTCCTTCCTCCCTTCTGAACTGCAGCTCTGTGCAGGCTGTAACTATCAGCAGTGATGCTCCAGTCATGGCATTCATCCCACCAAGTTGCAGGAATGCAACAAGGTCAGAACTTTCTGGTAGCACAGTGGCCTCCAGCTCCTCCTGTTTGTTGCCCACGCTGCAGGTGTTGATGTAAAGGCACCTCAGCTTGTCTGTCAGCCATGTCACCTTCCCAGAGGAACACCCCTTTTCTTCCTTCAACATAATTTTCTGGAATTTTTCCTGTCAGCTTTTGTTACCTTAGGAGTCCCCAGCTTGTCCCCATAGGACTGCAAGTGCATTCCAGCGTGGCTCACTTCAAAGTCATGGGGGTGGGCTATCAGATTTACCCCAATACTTGCTTGCCCCCCCAAGGCACATCTCTTCCATCAAGATTTTATCACCCTTCCCCTTCAAAGCTATTTTAAAGGCCTCTCAATCAGCCCTGCTAACTCCAGAGCTAGAATCCTTTTTCTCTTTTAAAACAGGTGAACCACATCTGTCTCCATCAGGTCTGATGCTATATAAATCACTCCATGGTTAAAAAAAGCAAATTCTAACAATGCCACCAGTCTCTAAGCCACGCATTGATCATGCAGATTCTCCTGTTCCTTTTTGCATTCTTCCTTGCTACTACAGGACTTGAAGAAAACACCACCTGTGCTCCTGTTCCTCCAACCAGTTGCCCCAGTGCTCTGAAGTTCCTGTGATTGTGCTTGGACTTCTCTCGTCAGCCTTGGCACTGCCAGCCTGGGCAACAAGCAGTGGGCAATAATCAGAGGGCTGGATCATTCCAGGGAGTTTCCTGGTAATATCCATTACCTGTGAGAATTGCAAGCACAGAGAGCTCTCAGGGCCTTGTGCATACAGGCTCAGAGATGGAGATGGGTGCAGTGTTTGACCTAAGGCCTTCGAGAAATCTTGCAGAATTAGAACATTTAAAGTAAAGCAGACATCAAAAAGAATATAAGTTTGTAGTTCAAGTAGAAATATGTTTTAAGCAGAGATATGCATAATGTAAGCAAAGCAATATGTTAAGTAAGAGAGTAAAAGATTTTAAAGTTTAGCAATAAAAGCTGCTATAAAGTTAGTTAGAAGCTTAAGATATATCAACGTAGGTTTGTGAAGTGTTACATGATTGGTTAAAAATTACACATTGTGGCAAAGCCACAAAAAGCAAAACAATTAATGATTGGTATAAAAAGATGTTACCAAGTTTCATAGAAGTATGTGATAGGCTAAAAAACTAACATAAGGCATTGTAACTAAGAATTAGACAGATTCTGATATTATGGCATTAAATGTAATATCTTCAATGTCTCACCCTTCTATGAGACTGACGCCATGAGGCAATAAAACATCTTTTAAAAAGTCTCCCAGTTGCCCTGTCTCTCGTGATTTTGTTCTCCCAATACCCACACCCAAGGGAGGCAGAGGGCTTCCCTTCCTCCCAGTTCCCCTCAGAAGAGAGCTGCCCAACATAACTACCATCCTTCCTTCCTTCCTTCCTTCCTTCCTTCCTTCCTTCCTTCCTTCCTTCCTTCCTTCCTTCCT